CGTGATTTCTCGAATCGAATTTCGGAACTGATACGAATCGGACGTAGTGCGTAAACGCTCTACCTCTCCAATTTAAACATAAAAACGTTAGCGACCGATTTCGTTCGTAGAACCTATAAATCTACCTCCTAAAAAGTTGTAATTTTACAAATGTAGCCTTATTGCACGAGGTGCGAGTTAATGTTGAAAAATTTAAGTTATTGCTTCCCTCACTTTAGTTATCACGTGTAATGTAAATGGAAGGAAGGAAGGCTGGAGTGAAAACAAGGGGTTTGTATGAAAAGATTGATGATGAATGTAAGTAAAACAAGAGGGTTTTGTGAGAATCGTACTAAGTGGTGTTCAATTGTTTCAGCTTACTCCAACGGGAATCCAAGTGAATATATAAATAAAAAAGTTATAATTAGTAGCAGCAGAGTCCTAGTGAAAGAGCTTGTCCGGGGAAGTAATGCCACCTTATCTATTTCTACCACCAAGCGGTAATGTGAGTATTACTGCGTTCCAGTTTTTAAGGGTAAGGGTGCTGGTGAAATTAAAGGCACAAGGGATTTGTCAACTTTGCGACACACTTTGACAACTATGAAACAAGCGATTTAAAGCTCTGAGTGGCAGTACAGCTGTTATAGACAGGCGTGTCGCTAACCACCAGTTCGTCACTAGATATAATAAAAAAAGGATAAAAGAAAAAAGTATTAACAAAATTGTCGTTGCTATTTGATATCTTTGTCAATAGGTAGTGTAAAGTCTTACTTAAAACTAAACAAAAGGGATCCCTAAAACAAAGAACGAAGTAAATATGTTTATCAAAATAAATGCGTTTTACTTTGTCATCTGAGCAGTAAGCCGTTGGCAGTTATCGTGGGAAGGGTACAATGAGTAACAAATTACGTAGTAGATAATACCGCAGGGCGCTTATCTCGGTGAGACGCATCACCTCCCCTTGCCGCGGGTCTTTTCTGTCTTTGTTAGGAGATGCTGTTTTGTTGCTTTCAATGTTAATATTAAAATTCAATACATTTTGTTTAATTCTTCAAGTAAACGATTAATCTTTGAAACAAGCATGGATATACCTTACAACACGCGCGAACGGGGTATTTATTAACTTTGAAATGTTTGCGCTATATATGATTGAATTTTGGCAACCATCTTGTGTTTTTAGTAGAACATATTTTTTGTTTTATATTCCCAAATAATATGGTGAATTCCCAAATAATATGGTGAGTGACAAGAATCTAACTTTTATTTTGGATGATGTTGATGGTAGAGAAACTGTACCCATTACTTTATTGATAACGTACTGAAAAAAATTTCACAGTAGAATCTTAGTATCTCTTATTTTCAAAAGGAAGCTTCAATCGCTTTTGCAGTCTGTAAGAATAATTCTATTAACTTGCTTTAGAAGATAAAACGTTTACTCAACACAAACCAAACAAACACAAATATTTACAAATTTCTAATTCACAAAATGTATCATAAAAAACCTGACCAACTTTGTGTTGAAAAGGCACTGGCTCTACATTGTTGCCATTGCGCGTAATCCTAGGTCTGTGGATGTCATAGAACTATAGACTTTGACAGACTATAGCCATTGACTTACAATTATATGGACGTCGGGTCCGCGCTAAAAAGTGTCCGCACTTGTAAGGCGCTAAAATCGTATACAGAGCGCGACACTCCGCTTTAGTCTTCATTTGTTCTACGGACAGCGCGATACTGCGATGACATAACAATTTAAATTTCGAATAGGTTGACTTGGGACATTTTTTTCGTTGTTTTTGTATTAGACCCGTCGTCCATTTATTTGTAAGTCAATGACTATAGCACTGTTATTCTGCCAGTACATCTTGGTGAGCAATCGGACTCATATAAAAATTAAATGTAACTCAATGGCATATTGATTCAATAACATTTTTCGTATAGAATCATAACATACATTGCACGAAATTCAGCATCTTTCTAAATACAATATACGTGTTTTCCAATATTCTCTCTTCTTGAATTCTTTTTCAATTGATGCCATGTAAACGGTACTTCCCTTAAGACTCGCGCTCCCCTACGTCCCAAAGTTCCAAACCTTATCTAAAGCAAACAGTTTTGCAGCAAATGCGGAACTCGTGCGAAAAAAAAATTACCGGTACGCATATCTTCTAAATGTCTTCTTCCTATAGAAACAGCCCGCTTTTATCAACTTTGCGATCTTTTTGGATACATGTTTCGGCACCTGCTTTACCATGTTGTGGCCCTGTTTTAAGCTTTTAAACTTTGTAATTCAACCGCATTTTTTTGGTTCTCTCACAATGATCATATATTTTGTTGAATTTAACGCAAAAAGTTGGAACAGTATTGATATGAAGGACAATTTTCATATACATCTAAATTAAATACTTTGGTTACATATAGCACAAAATCCAAGAATTGTGTGGTTCTGTCCCGACGTAAAAAACGGTGTGATAAGTTTGAGAGTCTTTTCCATGATTCTCCTTCATGAAATATCCTTTACTTATTAATACAAAAATCAAACACAAAGAAAAATGCCATCGGTCTGACAGGACTCGAACATACGTCTGTGTCACACCAGGACGACATTCTACCAACTGAGTTACAGATCGAGTCGCAGACTTCACTAATTCATAAATTTTTCTACGCATTTGTTCATAGATTTCTCACAGATGGCTCTACGGCAAAAAATCCGTTAAAATAAAGAACAAAGATTTGTAACAAACACATAAAAAAATTGTATTGTTTGCTGATTCTATCTGTAGCCCAGTTGGTAAAGCGGTCGCTATAATACAGCCCAGATGACGGTTCGAGTCCTGACGGATCGAAGAAATTTTTCTCTGTGTTCGATTTGTATTAATAATTATAATAAACTAGTCATATTACAAAAAATAAACGAATATCAGAATAGTAAAACATCATAATATTCATTACAATCCATATTACCATGTATCCTTGTTTATAAAATTCCCTTTCAGAAAACAGTGTTGCTAATGTGCCGCACAAACTTGGTCGAGATTATGAGAAATAAATGAGCACATTAGGTAGGACAGTTGGTGAATATGTTTCTATTCCCTACACTCGTAGCCATTATTAGGATGAGGGTGTTTTATCAAATACGGCCAACTATATTTCATAAGGTATTTATACTTCCGAGTTCACAAGTTTAACATTCAGTGACAGAATTACAACACAATGTAAGTATTTTATTTGTTTTGCTTTGTATCTTGTTTACTGTGTATGCTTAATGTCACCATGATGTTTGCATACTTGCGTAAATGTATGGTTTCTAATTATATTATATATACGTTTCAAAATAAATTATGAATAGTTTTCAAATTACTGCCTTTTGTTACAAAATGTATATACTCATCTACAAGGTATTAGAAGCTAAAGTAAATCAGGCTTTTCTTACGAGTAATATCTCTATTCTAACGCATTTACAGTTTCCAAGATATAACTTTATAAAACAAAATTAAATTTAAACTCTATTATCTAAATATCGTTGGTTTAATACTGCAAGCTCGTCGATACAGCCGGAAGACAGACAATGAATTCGGACTAATACAGCAACCCTCGTACAAAATGGAAAGTGCCGTAGGCCCACGATTTCCGGTTCCCCTATTGTCTGCCTCACTGGGTGCAACCCTTCCCTCAATGTCTACAAATTTATCTATGCAGTGAAAGCCGGCGCCATCATTGTTTATTTCGCTACAGTTTACATTTACATCTTCAGTGCAGGATTTTTGCGTCTACTTTATGTAACTTGGTTTTAATGGAACTTGTATTAAAATAGGGAAACTTTTATTCGATTGTCTGATTTGTATGATTAAATTCTTCAATTTATTTAAAATTTACGTCGTAAGGGAGATTGTATTTAGCTCGTCAATGTGGTACCTAGAACAACAATAAATGTCTTTATATGGATAAAAATATATACAACATTGGATAGTAACAGCTGTGTGAATATTCTGTTGTAATGTATGGAGTATTAAATTTAAATTATCTTTTCATAGATGTAACTAACTACAGGCTTTTAGCACACTATTGTAGTGTTTGAGTTTTCTATCTACCTCACTGTGCACTAGTAACAATATGGCACTAATAACGTTTGTGATATACAAAGCCTTCGTGTGTCTTGTTCCGATCATATTATTTAAGCTAGTGATGACGACAAGTACCAAAGTGCCATTATGCGACCATCGGATTTCAATAATTGTTTTGCTTGAGGATGCACTGATATAACACATCGACATATCACATACGCCAAATACATCAGGTAAGAATAAAACGTCCATTCAGTTGTTTAACGTTCTACATTGAACTAACGTCGATAGATTTTTTATTAAGAATTCGTACCTGATTTCGTAGATTAAATAAATTAGTTTTAACTGAGTCATGAAGATTATTCTACTGTTATTGATAATATGCGTTCTGACTCGTTGCAAAGATTTGATAGTAGGTGAAAACCAGGGTGCAACTATCTATGAAGAAACTATAGAATTTTATGGAATACCATACTTTAAAAGAACTCACGAAGTTTTCTACAGTAATATCTCTCATAAGAGGATAAAAGTAAGTACATATAATAAATTTCACTTAAATTGAACCTTTCTGTGCGCGTATATTCTAATAGAAACTGTGAAAAGTAATAATAATAATAATACAAATAAGTAAATATCTAAGTGTGCACCAGAATATAAAAAGTAAATAATATTTATAGAAGTTAGTTAAAACATATAATAGACATTTAAGAAATGTTATTCCACAAAACCCAACATGATATGAACATTTAATAGATTATACATGAATTTCCTCAATCAAGGAACAGAGAGAAGAAGCAAACGTCATTGTTTATCCAACAAATATTCACTTTACAAAATGTACCACTTTAAACCAGGTGAACCGTCTTGGATATTTACCTAGTACAATGAAGCTAACACATAGTTACATAAGCTGATCAACCATCCGCAGTGTAATAGCGCTAGACATTATGCGATTAACAGGAAACCAATTGTTAATTCGTGTTTCCGGTAACTTGAGCATTGATTCCGTTGTGACTAACCCATTGCGTTATAATTCAATAGTTAAGTACTTATTCCTGTTGCCAGTTATCTTTCTGGCATTCTAAAAATTACAATTTAAACAGTGAAATTGCAGTCCAAATTTCAAAAATTTTGATAACCTAAATAAAAATACATAACGTGCTCCATAACATAAGCGAGTACCTCATCTAATCAGTGACTTTTTTTGCAGGGCATCGAAGTGTTGGAAATATTACGTACAAAAGCTACAGTATCAATAACTGCTGGTGGTATTAGCTTCGAGTACGTCAACCTTAAATTCACAAGCCAAAGATCATATGGATTGTATTATAACATAAAAATTTACTAATTATAACATGGAATTGTTTCTTTTAGTATTGCTGTTATACTGTTTGTCATAAAGATAATATTTCCTACAAGATAAAATAAAACTATCAACACTTTCCTCCAGAGAGCAGACGTATTCAAATTCTCATCTGAATTTCAAAATGTACGAGTATCTTTAAAAGTGTACAACGACCCCTTCACGTCAACCTGAAGACATTCTGATATTAGCCGGGAGCCGCGCAAAAGGGCAAATTGTATCAGAAGCGAATACGAGTCGCAAAGTGAGAAGTGACAGCCGGGCCAAATTGCAGACGACAACATGCTTTTAGCGACTTGTGGGCCTTAGATAGCGGTACAATAGGATCACCACTTCAAACTAATTTAAAATATAAGAGACTAGCGATCATTACAGAAAAACGAAAGGAAAAAATCTGCAATTTCTGAAGTTTACAATCTGAGATACATTCAAACCCAAAGTGAACGCCTTCCAGCCGTTGGTATACAGGCTTCTTTTGCCAATTCTTCAATATTACTAATTATGTAAGCGTGTAATATGCATATATATAAATAAAACATATGTAGATATAAAAACAGCGTTACTACGAGTTTCTTGGTTAACGATAACATAATATACGTATAGTCACTATGATCATTTCCGAGCCATTGTATTGTAACTCATACTTCTTGAGAAACGAGAGGGAAGTCCTTGTGTGTATTTTTATAGTTCAGTCCATAATTAAGTAGATATTTTGCTTAATCGGAATGTTACATAGGCATTTTTTTTTTACTCCAACTATGTTCTTTCAACGCATTGCACTATTCATTGTACTCAAACTTTCTATGCTTCCTCATTTCATTCCCCACTTTTCACGAATGAAAGTGAACATTTCATATTCAAGCAGTTGTTCAACATTATTCATTTCCACAAGTCATATCACGCACTGTTCTATAACATAAACCAATTTTTTTTTATTTTAAACAGAGTTCAATTTTAACAATGAAAATTCAAATTCTGTTTTTGTTACTGGTCAATGTTATGCTAATGAAATGTGAAGATATGATTCTTGGCGATGTGTCTGAAAACAGAGTTGTTGTGCATCACACATCTGCCCAATATCCAGGGATTAATAATCTAAGGAGACTGAGATACGTCGTCTGGACCAGTTTGGATCTTAAGCCTATATCTGTAAGCATTTTATTTAAGATTATTAATTTAATTAAAAAGAACTGCTAAAAGTTTCAAAACCTATATACAATAATATATTAGTTCATTATTAATATACCTTGTTCACCTTCGTCCTTTTACGTTTTTGGTGTTATATATAGAAATGTTTCCTGTACTATATTTTATCATAGTTCATTGTACCAGAACAACAATGTATCCATGGAACAACAGCGGTTATTAGACATTATCGTTATAAGGTCTACTGCACAATGAATTTAGACTCATAAAGTTATCTACATTCTTTCTCACACGTGCGATGTTGTGACATTTAATTTAATTTACATAAAAGTAGTTTCAAAATTACCAACGTTCACTTAAACTTGTCTATGTCAACGTTCACTTAATCTACCTGTATGGTAGATTTTTTCTAATTTTGCACAACAAATCCAAAAGAATTGAGTTTCTATAACACGGTTACTTTATATACAAATTTGTCGATATGTTCCAGGGTATTGCAGCAATAGACAAAATGAAATCCATGGCCCATGCAAACGTCCTCGCTGGTGGGATCGGGTTTGGTTTCGTTACCATCAAACTGAAAAGTGAAAGATCCAAGGGTCTCGATTATGATATTAAGATTTATTCATAAAACTACGAAATTTGAATAAATAATTGTAAGTAATAATTTGTGGTAATAATAAATTATTTATTGCCAATAATTAAATTATAAGCATGAATTCATTGAGTTAGAACTGATAAACCCCGTTTCATGATAAAAATTTACTTAATACTAATTTTACATCTACTGCAATAAATAACACAAATTTTCGAGTCCATGTCTCATACTATTTTTAATCCTAAATAGTTGCGCTTTTTCAAGAAACAAAAGAAGTTCAAAGAAAATTAGTTTCTAGTTTCAAGAAAATAATGTAACCTTTAAAAACAAATTGCAATTTCAATTATGATCCCAATGATATTATCTTATTCCTTTTACCACAAGCTGTCTGTTCTCTAGTAACTATTATAAGAGGTTGTTTGAAGCGTCTAAACTTCAGCGAATACTTAGCGACTTTGCACAAGCCTTTGACTAAATTACTTTAATAGTTGCAAAACTGAATAACCACTAGTTTCATGTCAACATACATAATTTCGATCGGCAGGTGAAAAATATCAGAACACAAAAATAATTATTCATGCATTCTATGGTTCTTATAGAGGTAATTACAACTTTCATTAACATATATTAGCTCGATTAGGCTACCGCTAGATATAAGCGTTGCTCAAGGCATACCACTGAGCCCAAATTTGAACTATTTTTACACATACCACCGAAAATCTATACAGATGTCGCATCGCGTCCATTAAATAAAAGGTCACACTACGATACAATACGCTACTAAAATTTAAATACTTTAAAATTAAAAAAAAACTTTAGATATTACGTTTTATAACCGTGAAAGGATTAGATTACGCAAGAGCTTTAATTCGTACATTTGTAGTAATTTTATATATCATTATTTATTACTAATTGTCATGTAATCCCACCAAGCCATTAAACCCACAAACTGCTAGTACTAAACTATGGGAAAGCCTAGTAAATCGGTATGCAAACGAGGCATTAGCTTTATCGCCGTTACTATGTTTACAAGCGCCAAACATAGCTAACTGCCTTATAGTTAAGTGATTAACTTTAATGCAGAAATAATGGTACCATAAAATATGGTTTTGATTATGTTTACTGCTGCTAATAGGGCGATACAGTAAGTACGATTAATTCGGTATGTTGCAAGTGTTACTTATGAAGTGACTTAACATACATACTTATATTTTGAATTTAACAAAAAACTATGCGGTACCTAAAAGGAACCCAAAGACGAAATCAACTGTGCCCAGAACTGGGATGCACATGATAGGATAAAACAATTTTTTTTATACGAGACCAAGTGACTGGACGAACAAGTCGCCCACCTGGTGGTAATTGATACGCCTGTCCATAGCAGTTGCAGTACTGCTCAGTGCTTTAAATCACAAAGATCTGAGCGGCACTGCCACTGCGCCCATCACCCTGAGACATAAGTTGACAAGTCCCATAATGCTCACATTACTGCTTGCCGGCAGAAATAGGTAAGGTGGCTGTACTTCCCTGGACGAACTCTTTCACAAGAAGCTCTACTGCTACTATATTTATATATTATTTCATTACAGCGCTATACTAAAGAAATATTATATAAATAATGTTTGTTTCTTTTAATTTTTTTTTTTTAAAGCGCATTATGCTGTATAAGCCCGTTAAAGGGAACCGTTATAGACAGGATAGTTTTAAGATTTATTTCGTCTTCACAAAGTCTCAAATTCATTTAAGGAGCACTGTATACGCTTCCATAATAAGATTCCGATTGATATTCAAAATTTGCTATTTACGAGATTTAAAACTATAGTTACACCCCGGACACTCCATACAACGGTCGAAAATCATTTACCTACTACTACTACATACAGCAAGGCGCTATCTACACATGCGCAAATGTGTGCGTGAAGTGGCAGGGTTACCCATCACTTTCTTGCACGTTACGTGATTAGAGCGGCAACATAGCGAAAATGCTAACGGGAATCTATTATCTATGATTCTATTAATATAACCCAGAATGCTAATAATTACACACGTCTGTTATGTATATATATAGCGATATAATATAATTTTTTTCATTAGCTCACTAACTAGAGTAATATTGAAGACTTATTTAAAAAATGTATTAAAAGCACTTAAAATGTTATATTTTGGACATGTACTTTTAAATAAGTTAACCAAGGTATTTGAAATTGATTGTCCAAGTTGATCATCATTACTTAGTTAATAATTAGGTATATTCGCTACTTACGTAATATTTATCGGCAATATGAATTGAAAATTCGAGAAATATAATAAATCTGTATTTTTTATACATACATATCTGTAGTAAATAAATGAAGAAAACAATAACTGAATGATTCTTAGACATAAGTTTTTTTACTTAACTACTTCGTTTCATCTTTCGGAAAATGATGATAACCAGCCGTACACAGCACTATTCACGACCATTATAAATAATAAGGTAAAATAATGTTTTATATTAACGTACAAGATTCGTAATGAATAAATGTACACTATATTCAAATATCAAAGCCATCTTCGCGTGAAAACGGCTCGTCGGCAGCCTTGTTGTCATTCAGTCAAAGTGACCGGCAATGTGCGGGGCGTGGTGCGGTATCTAAAGCTAGGGAGGGGCGGAGAGTGTCCGTTCTTTTTACTTTTTGTTCTCTGCTATAGTGAAACAAAATCTTTATACTAACAGCTTCTGCGTACTTGGATCACACATTCGTGATAGCGACCGCCGTTTAACTCTTGCAGGTAGTCTCTGTCTAGGATGTTTAAATTAAATATTATAATGATAAATGTATTCAAATGTATATTTACAAAGAGTAACCCCTAGAGTTTCTTAGTCATTCTTCTCAGGGGAAGTTTAATCGGTATGACGATTTCAAGTGTAATTTGCTTACCTATGAAATAAATATAAAAGATCTTAGTCTTGACCTCACAAGACTAAAAGAGGACGTGACTTAAAGAACCACTGTTACATATTTTGTTTTGGATAATATATGAAAAACATACACAAGATACATTATATGATACAACTGACAATACAATAAGAAGGCAAAGTTAGGGTTAAAATACGTATTGTGAGATACTTTACCAATCCTTTAACGTACGATTGTATGAGTCTTCTCTAGAAAAAGACTATCGGCTAACAGTCATCATTGTTAAATATTAACTACACCCGACGATCCGTTCGAATCATTTGCTGTAAAAAGTTTTCTATACTATAGTGTTAGTACACTTGTATTTTAAGATCGTTAAAAAGGCTTCCGTTATAGCTAGGCTTCGATTCGCCTCAATATTTTTGCATCGTTTTCAAATATGTTGACGCATAAATACACTCTTCCCACAATATGAAAACTAACATAACGTAACAACTAAAAATCTGTACCCCTTAAATTTTTTACTCAAAACGTCATATAAAAGCTTAGAGCATAAAAGGCCATTGGAAGGCACATCTAGGTCGTTGTAGATTAATCGTCCAGGACCCCAATTCAGAACTATTCCATATTTTAACCGAACCGTTCGATTAAATATCGTTTTCGAATCGAAGGGCACTATCCGAGCTATTCAGATCATTCGAGTTAAACGTTCGATTTGGATGCGATATCGTTATCCAACAGTTGACGGAGTTACTCGGTGAAATAGATTATAAGAAAAATGAAAATCCTTCTAAACAGATTTTTAAGACTTTAAAGGCCTATAGTCTCAGTACAGAGTACTAAAAAAAGCGACCTCAAAAGTACGTGGAATTACGTCTATTTGTTAAGTTTTATTGAAATATCCTTAAATTCGATACCATATAAGACCTGACAATGGAGATAATAAAAATCGGTTCTCACTACTCAAAGTATATTGAGAAAAAAACGCCTTGAATTGGAGAAATAGCAAAATCAACCATTAAAATAATTGCTCCTTAAGTAAAATTTAAGCGCTATTTATAAAAATTAATCTTCATGCGTGAACAGCCCCCTTAGAGGTAAATGATTTTCTTCAAAATGAAATGGGACCACTATGGAAGTACCCCCTTTCCAACAACAAAAGAATCATGAAAATTTGTTCACAAATACCGGAGTTATCGCGACATACAAAAAAAACATACAGTCGAATTGAGAACCTCCTCCTTTTTTGAAGTCGGTTTAAAATATAGGAATGCATTAGTCTTGCATTAAAAGAAATTAATAAAATTGAACAAAATCCAGACCTTATTTAAAATAATAAGAGCTATGAATACTACATTCTTGGTCTGTAAACAATAGGTCGTTCGGTAACTTTCTTTCAATAACTGTGTTCTGAATAAAGTTTGTAACCTTTGCCGGTCGAGAAGTATGAGTAATCGTACGGGTGTGACGTCATCTCGGTTCGGTTAAATCGAATCGGTCGACAACTGAGTTGTCGCAAGGTTCTGAATCGACCCCCTGAACCGCTATTACCGGCCGAGTGTTAATTCTCAACTGACGATGACAAATGCGATCGTTAGTGTTATAGACAGGCAGAATTGTTCTACGAGGGATGTCACTGGACTGTGTCAAGGGCTCTTTTTCTGGCTTAGTTTATTTTAGTTATATTATATTTTTTTAAGTTTTTAGTGTATAACAATGACGTGGTTTTAAACTTTAATTGATGGTAACTAGTATTAGATACAGCGTCTAACAAGCTTTAAATAAGTTTTGCTAACAAGCTGAAACCTATTTATGAAAAGAAAATTTTAACCTATTTCGTGATAAAAAGATAGTGTTATGAAAGCCGTGCGAAGTTTCCTTGTTGTGCATTGACGAATACCAACGAGTTAAGGTTGTCACACACATTATATAAAAAAACAAATTTAAATTGTAATAATATGGAAAAAAAATCCGATAAAAGCCTTTTTGTATTACCTCTTTTAATACACATCATCTCTCTGTGGAAAAACATTTGTAATTTAGATGTTAGAATAGAATAGGATAGAATACACATTTATTGCAAGGCTACAATACATAGATGCAAAAAAATATTTGTAACACTTACACAAACAAAACAAAATAAAAAGAATTAGTATAA